TCATCCTGGTTATTCGGAAATGCTATCACCTGGATGTCGTGAGACCAAGATGCTTCAATCAAGTAATGCTTGAATTCATTATCAACACAATTGGCTTTCGTCATATTCATTAAGTTTTGAACACACAAAGTTTTGAAGAATTATAAACACACAAATCTGATTCTGCGTCGGTAGTGAGAATCGTTCAATTATACACATAAGTTTGATTCTACGTTGGTAGTGAGAATCGTTGTATTACGGATTGAAAAGTTGAAAGGCGAAAGTGGGAGAGGTATGAACGTGCGATTCGGTTATTTAAATAAAACACTAGCCAACGAACCTTCCAGGCTATGCCCTGTTGACATCACGACTAATATCGTCATGGCAACAAATACCGACGTTTAAGGAATAGTGCGATATTATTTAAGTGCTGCGCTTCATGCGCAGCAATCAGTCTTTGCCTCAATCTAGTAACAATTACACAGTCATTATAATAAGCGCACTATTCATCTTCAAGCTTTTCTCTACGGTTATCACTAGTAGTGTGTGCTGTTTACGTGGGCGTTAGGTCCGCCGATATAGATGTGGTTGTAAGGAACGGTAGTGTGCGTTGTTTACGTGGGCGTTAGGTCCGCCGGTATAGCTGTGGTTGTAAGGAACAGTAGTGTGCGTTGCTTACGTGAGCGTTAGGTCCACCGATATAGGTGTGGCGTCACTATTAGTTCTTTAGACTACTTGATGCTTGCGTACGTGAGTCGTTATGGAGAATTATGTTTGTGTGGTGACGTCCGAAGGTAGAATAGTGAGCCCGTCGTAGACACTTCGTGGTTGGTACTAGCACAAGGAAGATGCGCGTCAAGCACTACTCTTAAATATTCTCGTAAAAGCTTGTGACGCCGGTAGCGCACCGGTGTTACTATGACGACTATTATCGTGACGTCACTAGGATATAGCCTTGGAGAGTTCATCGGCATTGTTAGTCAGAATTATAATCTAATATTCGAGCATTCTGCGTACTGAGATCTTCCGAATTCGCTGAATTATGTTTACAACGTAATGTATAGATGTTTATACCTCTCCCACTTTTGTATTCCGCCTTTAACTGCTTCAATCTGTAACATTCATTAATAATAATAAAGTAATAATGAAAAATATTTCAATTAAATTCCATAAAAATAGAATACCATATTTAAAAACTTCATAAAAAACTGTGGAAATATACGTATTTAAAATATAAAAATTAAAAAGAATATATAATCCAAAAGTAATATGAAACAAAAATTAATATTATATATATATTTTTTTTTTTTCATATATAAAATTATATATATTTAATTTTATTTATCAGTACTAAAACATATTTCAATTTTCAAAAAGCATCACTTACAATTTAAAATTATTAATATCGAAATTGAAATGCAGAAAATAAATTTGCATCTTGTTCACTGTTTTTAGTATTATTAATATTCCAAAAATTGAAAATCAATTTACTATCAAAAATCTATCAATTTGCTCACTATTTTACTATTTTCCTTTTTATTATGATTTAAAATTAGTCAAACAATTTTATTTAAATAAGATTCTCTAATTCTTCTGATTCAGTCTTCATGAAAAAAAGTTGTTTGTTCTTCTTTGAAATTATGAATTTCTCACTCGCTTAATTATGATATAATCAGCTAGAAAGTCAATTACTTAATATAAAATGCCATGTTGCAGATATAACAAAATCGAAATATTTCCATAATCATAGTTGTAAAAACAATTAATTAAAAACATAAAAATTATTTTTGTTTTCATCATTAATGTGTTGCACTTTATATCGCCTTTGAGACCAGATTATGTACTTTATTTATCCCGAGACAGATTTATTAACTTTACATTATGGAATGTAAAAAAAATGAATATATTTTATTAATAGTTGTTCGGGATTGATGCAGTCCCATGAATTTCAAACAAAAGAAAGGTCATACGCACTGTCCGGCGTACCGCATGTGCGCCTAGACGGGCCCGCACGTGCGGACCGGGACGGGTACTCGAGCGAATATTTACAAACAGAACTCGGCAAGTCCGAGCAAGTTTACGACCCGAAATATAATATACTGTAAGATCACCCAAGGGTATTACACCTACTTTTCTCTCGTCAAACATTCTCGAAGGTTCTAGATTTTTCCTTCGACGCCTCGTGTAAGAATTAGTGCAACAACGACGAAGCCTTGTTGCTAGCTAAGTGAGCCGCTGCGTGCCTATATAAGGGTCGCACGCGGCGCGTCTCGCCCTCTTGCTGAAGATACCGCTTGCTAAAGATACCTCTCGCTGAAAATCATCTCTTGTCGTACCACCCTCGATCAACTGCGCTTGCGGCTAACATCTTACCGTAACCCGACCGCAGTGACCGACCATAGTGAACCGATTCAATCATCTACCAGTAGAAGCCATGGCACACGGGTCTCGATCTGCCCTCAGCAGGTCCGCCATGGAACGGTCGATATTTTCAGCAGAGCCGCCACGGAACGATCAAGCCTTCGGTTCGTGCGCGTATTCAAAAGGCTCATACGCTCATTTGTAATATCACTTCGCTCTCACTCAAGTGTAACTGCCGCTCAGTGTATAGTATACTGTGAAGACGGTGCGTGGCCATATAATCGGCATCATAGTTAAAATTACGCGCGTGCATAAGAATAAGAAATCAGCAGTTTTAAATAGTGATTACAGTGAAACTATTGCAAAAGTAATCAAAAGGGACATCAATCACACAGCAGTAAAGCACCTTGCCTGCATTTTCCAAGGTACATCTTTTTATATTAATTAATCAGTTCGTCACACCTCGCACACAACAAGTCGGGCAAACTTACGCTCTCCCAAAGAACACTTCGGACCAATAAGGCACACCAGAGAGAGGACAACCGGACACTCT